TAGAATGTTTCCTTCAATTCAATTATTTAGGTTTCTCTTTTGTATTTTGAAAAACGTTAACACCGATGAAAGGAGATTTCTTATAATGAGTACTTTTGATTGATAGGAAAAAGACTCGTTTGTTTCAAAATATTTTCATTTTCAATGCCTTTTGTCATTTTATTACTTAGAGTGATAATTATGTTTTAGTTCGCCCTCGTAAACTAATGCACACCGAGGTAATGACACTCTTCTCCCCTTGAACCTCTACAATCCTATCTCTTTTGTTAATGACAATTCCATTTCACGGTTATTTCCGAGCCCCTTTGAAATATTGATAAATTTCAGCCCTTGGGAGCCGTGGATCTCAACAGAGGACTCCAAAAATTACTCTTTTGTTGAATAGGAACTTTACTCAAGAGAGCATTTCACATTGCCAAATTAAAATGCATCCTCCTCCCACGTAAACTTCTCACAAATGCACAGCTCATTTCAATATTCTCTGCTGTTAGGCCACAATAACCAGATAATTCAGCTGACAAACCTTACAAGATATGTTTACAGACCATTATAAGGCCAGTAACTTCAATCATTGCTAGTAGCGGTTATCCTGCGCGGTTAGCATTCATTTGATAATATCTTCCTGAATTTACACTTAACGATTGACACGATTACGTGAGCGACTTTCTGCAGTTTCATTCAAGTTGTTATTTACTTTCCATACTCTGATCCATTTGCAGGGTAACCCTTCTACCAATTTAACAACCGAAGAGGTTTTGTGTTCGCCCAGAATATTGACATAGCAGCTGCGCGCGTTTCTGAGGGAAAACCGGTCAAAAAGACAGGTAGGAAAACACAGCAAGCTAACGCAGTTTTATTAAGAATAATCAAAGCGAATATCATATTCCTTATGAAAATAGCAAAGTTTAAAAACGTGATCAAGGAATTCTTTTAATCGACTCAAGAAGGAAATAGATATTGGACTGCATTATCGATGACGAAATAATATTTTGACAAACGTAATAAAATAAGTGAAAATGCAGAACTGATCGATTCGAGTTTAGAGGACGACTGAATACGTAAAACAGATGTTACCCCAGATTACAACAAGACGTAGTTATCAAAAGTCAAAAAGGAAAAAAAATCACTGTGAATCCCGGATTTTAACAGATTGAAAATATGGCTGAATTGCAAATAGGAATATTGGTAATGTAGCAATTATGAGGCTAGAAAAAAAAACTAAAACTTCAGCATCCTAAAAACTATCAAAATGATTGAATTAATGAAGTTGAATTCCACTCAGGAAAACCTCGCCCGTTTTAATTACTCGCGGCTTTGAGTGGCTGACTTAAAAATAAACATAATTGGAAAAATATGGCCATTTCTAGACCAAACGTTAGGCGAGAAAACATCGTAAATTTTTTTCTTATTAGAATGTCGTCAATTTGTTATAATAACTCGTGCTGTCAGACACAACTCAGCTGCTGGGATCTGTTAAAAAGCCCAAGTGACTCTCGAGTGGAAGGTATCTGTTACATGCTCTTGACGCCAACGACAGGTAGCAATTCAAACCTTGCAACTCGGTATGAAGCAGTGAAACTTGTCTAGGCAGGGATCATTGCTCGCTTTCGATACAGAAATCAAACAAAAGAGAAGGGAAACTCTGTTGGGTCTCAAAATCTACATGGTAATAACACTAATATTTCTTAAAATGTTTTAATCTTTCCGGGACTTTCATCAAGCGGATGATACACAAACAAAGGAAGCAAAGAGGTGAGAACGAAACCTGGAATAATATCACAATACACAACTGGTTGAAATTTCAGAACAATCACTTAGCTTGCCGATATCACCAAAAGTTACTGCTAGCTGCCGACTGCCAAACAACCGTGTTTTAGATTTGAGAAAAAGACGGGCACTATAACGAACGAAAAGATGACAGAAGGACCCAGATCAAACAATAACACCCCCAATGATTCCGAATCAGGTAGCGGTGAAAATTATGGAGACGAAGAAATCGGAGCTTTCGATGCGGAATTCGACACGTTTCCAATCGTTCTGGCCATATTTATCATCGCCGTCAACTTAACTGTCATAATTTTATTCATTCGCCATCGCACACTCCGGTCTGTCACCAACTCATTTCTTGTGAGCCTAGCTGCTAGTGACCTACTCGCAGGATTGTGTGGAATTCCTGCTACACTTTATTGTTCAGCTACTCACAGCTTCACAACCTGTGCTATCTCAAATCTAACATGGCGATTCATTTCTGTATCTACCGTAGTGCATATTCTACTGGTGTCTGTGGACCGCTACATCGCCATAACGCACGCCATGCGCTATCATAACATCGTAACACGGCGCGCGTTCTTCGCGCTCATAAGCTTGGCGTGGTTTATGGCTGCGTTCGTTTCTCTGATACAACTATCTTGGCGGGTAGGTCGGAGCGAGGAAGCAGCCGAAACCGCCGAAAAATTTCAGAAAACTTATGACCTCGCTACTTTTGTGCTATTTTTTGTGATACCACTGTTGGTGATGGCTTATATATACATTCGCATTTTCAGTACGGTTCGGTACCACGAGAAACGGATATGGCGATTTCACAGCCCTTCTGATCAGCATTTTTCCGCCAAAGGAAAAGAAGAATCGCATAACTATGCACAGCGCAAAACTGTCACCATTTTCCTGGCGATGCTCGTCATATTTACCGTCTGTTGGCTGCCATATTTTATTTTGAGTTTTCAGGAGCTGAACGCCCAGCAAACGTTTGATCCACCAGCATGGGTGCTGTATGTGTTTTATTACTACTCTCGATTTGTTACTTCGTTTTTAAATCCCCTTATGTACATTTTTAGAAAAAGAGACTTCAAAGAACTATTACCCCGTTTGATTTGCAAGGATGGAAAAGCAAGATGCGAAAGCCGAGCGAATAAAACACTCACAACTATCTATAGCAATGAACAGTGTACCACTAATTGTTGAATATTATGGGAACTGAAGTCCGACAGAAGCGATGGCGTTTGGTTGTACATAACGGAAGAGTTGTCGATAAAACAGCGCAGCACGCCGGATCCTTGTAACACAACAGTTCGAGAGGAAAGGGACTAGTTGTATTTATAAGTAAGGGTTGTATTTGTAATGCAGGAGATAATTTTATTCATTCAACTTTTATGAAAGATGGGGTTACCCATGGATAATAAGACGCTTTTGCTTGACAAGCGTCCAATTTTATTTTTTCTGTATGTCTGTTTCAGCATGGATCTGAGTAATTTTCACGAGAAGCACCATTTATTAAGTTTACCGCTCGTTGAAAATGACATTTACCGTGAACTCACAAAAGATTTAATTAAGTCCCATTATTAAGGAAAAAAGAACTTCAGGAGGGGATAATCCAATATTTGCTGTAGAAGTCACTTAGAATTAGCTGAGCATGATTTGCACTTCCGTAAAAATGGAGCAAACTCTTTTATCTAAATCACACGCTCTTTCGCACTATAAACAAAGACACCTGAGAAATACCGCACATCATTGAGTCAAATTTAAATTGGGACTTAAGAAAAAGTTGCGCTTAAAAGAAAATTAAATTTGACAGAATACAAAGACTTTTAGCCTATTATAAAAAAAAAATATAATTAATAGTCAATCGCCTGCAAATGTTAGTTGGAAAGTACAGACGAGCATTTCTTGTCCGTAAAAAGATGATCAAGAATTCCAAAGATCAAATTTTCATGACGGGTCGAGTTTTAGAAGTTAACATAACAACATGTACATAATAATTTATTCTTTAAATTTATTGAACAGGATAACGAAGATAAGACATATCCTGAATCCCGGGTTGTCTGAAAAGCATGCTTTTTTTCCTCTTTGCCAATAAGCAAGACAAATTTGCATGTAAATTAGTTCTGAATCATTTTAGTAGGGAAGGAAGACAAAGGAACAAGCAGCTTTCCGTGCACCTACGATGGGCAGCGCAAGATAAAAACTGCTATTTATGCTATTATGAAGCTACAACATTGAGTTGTCACCTTGAAAAACACAGTAATAAAAAGCCTCGAGTCATTCTTCAGATAACACGTGTAATTACACTTATAAAGCCATTTTATATCAAATTAAAATTCTAGACATGTCTTGCACGCAGCTAAATACACGTAATTGCTGAGAAAAGAGCTGACAAGAAAACAGCCGTAACTTTCCATATTTACATCTGTTTTCCGTATGGCGGCTATTTCTTTCACATCAAAACAAAGAAGATAACAATCGCCGAGGACGAAATAATGAGCCAAATGCTCTCTTCGTGTGTTGAAAGCTCTAGATGATTGCCTCAAATGATAACGATCTCGCGACATTTTAATCTTTGGGTTTTAGCTTAAGAATAAAAACCTCGCGCTTGTCTCTCGCTTAAGAATCAAGGCATAATCCGGTAATTTGGATGAAAAGGTTTTCAGATTTAAACTCAGTCATCTGCGATATTTCCAGATGAACAAAAACGAAAAACAAAAGAAAGGAGGTGACAAAAACAATTCGATCATTGCAGTTTTCTCCCTCTCTGCTATTTCAATAATTTCTCTCGTTTACCTTAAAGGCAGACTATCATTTTCACTCAGTAAATAGGTCACTGAAACAATATATGGCGTGTATTAAGTGAAAAATAAGTCTTATTAAGTGCAAAGTGAGCTACACCAGACTGTTTTTATACTTACTTCAATTTATCCTCTGAGATGTCTGTTTGAGGAAAAGGTGCATCTTTAAAAAACACATAATCCCACACCTCTCTAGTCATCTGTTCCGCCCTGAAAATGCATAATACGGTTTAGAACATGGAAAGGAAATACTAATGATAACAAAAGTAATAATTCGAAGCGTCTTTTAAAGGTGCATGCGTGAAGGTGAATTGATAAGTTGAGGCGAAAATTCCCTTGGTGTGACATCATGATGAGGAATTTAATTTTTGAGCAAATATTTATCCTTACGACATCATTTTCCCGCCGCAACAAATCGTACAAATTAAAACAGGTTGAAATTTGTGCGATTCTCGCAGCAATAACATGTTTCGATTTGTAGCGACTTTTAGGAAGCAGTGCGTGGAGACAAGAATGAGCCGCCTTCTTTATCTCGACGTCAAGAGAGGCTGAATATTCCCTTAACTTTGGAGAAATTTTAAAATAATGCAGTTCTCTTAAATGAACGAACCAACAATACAAGTAAACCAAAAGTGAACAAAGAACGATAGAGAAGGTAAACTCCGACTGTTAATGGAAGGGAGGACAAATTCACGATAAAAGCTAAAACAAAATATGCTCCTTTGGTACGTTCCTGCCTAAAAAGAAATTAAAAGTGAAAAACGCAGAGCTGCACAGAGTACATATTCAGAGCACTATCAATTACTCTCATTTATTTCGCTGCAGAGTACAAGTGAGTAGTTTGTTGTGTTGAAGAAAGCCTGAAATAAAGTCAGATGGACAGTCTCTGACCATTGACACACAATATTTTCAAGCTGAACACCTGACCCGAGTTTAGATGAATAAGCGTTTCCATTACTATGTTTCAAAACCTTAATATGCTCGGAAGGAAACACAGCATGACTTCTATTTTAGAAAAAATCTAAATTAATGAAAATGCCATTTACAGAGCGGCTATATATTTTTTCTGATCGACAGGGAACCCTTTTGTATGGCCATAACGACTTAACTGAATCATTCTAATCTCCAAGATACATCTTCCATAAGAAAACTGCCATCTTTCTGCTTTAACTATGACTTTTCAAGAAAATAATCTAATCAATAGGTTGACTATTTTCCTTTTTCTCCTCCCGCGCCTGCTCGTAATTTCTTGCATCTTTAACGGAGAAATGCAAATTTGATCACTGATTGGAATAAATGTTGGAGATATATTAATCTGATCTGATGCGTTATCACCGTCATAACATCAAATATAACCTGATGTTTCGCGAAACTTCCTTTTCGTGTGAATGACAAAGGCTTTGAAGTTAACTATAACAGACGAGAAATACAAATCAAATATACTTTCCAACAACAAACCGTTAAATGAGCCACAAGAAAGAAAATGCTCAGTTTTCTTTTTCCAAATCCATTAAAAAATATTCCATCATGATCTAGTTTACTGTTGATCATGCTGATTTACATTTTAAAAAGAGTTGTTTCCGCTTTCTGATGGCTCTCCGTTTTATAGGAAAACATCACAGTAAGGTTATTTTGCACATCGTACTTTTAAACTTTGAATCGCAACCTTAGGGAACTGCTTGCCTTTAATTAAACATCGTTTGAAAGATAAACATACCGTAGTGACTCCGAGACTCAGTACGTTCTGGGAAGCGACGAACACACAACACAGTGCATTTCCCGCTGTTTTTATATTTTTAACAAAAATCTCTTAGAATTTTTTAATTTTTAAATTGAGTGATACTTTCACAGGTCCATGGCGAGAATTCATCTAAACACTTTCTTAAGATGTCACTTGAAACAATTTGTTACACAAACCTAACATGACGGACGAATTAAAATAATAATCAGTGTTCACTTTTAATCGTCAATAACGGCGAGGGTTAGTGAACAGATAAAACCTTGAAAAAGGTCACTCCTTAATGTTAAATATATACATTCGATTACTGCACTAGTAACCAAGCAATTCAGACGACATAAAAGCGGAGCTAGCCGTCAAAAGAATCCATTTATCAAGGGAACTATCACTTGAAGTGGTACCTGATTCCTAGGGGCCCGCCGGCAGAACCGTCAAAGGAGCCCTCTTGCAACAGATGCGCGACTGTGTAGTAAGCATTGTAAATGGTGGAATCAGACAGCGACTCAATCAAATACTGTTCGTCCCAAGGTAAACGAGTGCCTATCACGATAAAATAAAAAACATAAAAAAGTTAGAACCTCCTGTATCTATAAAATCATCTGAGCTGACAAAGCTCTTCTGGTGTTGTCAACGACAACGCGCGCGAGCTTACCGCGCGAGACGAACGGGGATGATTATTGGCTCACGCGCGTGTGGGGTGAGAAATTCCTCCACCAAATATAAATCAAAGCACAATTTCCATGGGAGAGGGTAAAAATTCCGCGAAGGTTTTCGTTCAACCCCGAAGCGTCTGACACGTCTAGTGCATCCTAGCCTTTTTGAACAGTTTATTCCGCATGTTAAACTAATGACCCTTCTAGACAATAATTGGAATGATCGGATTTGGAACTTTCGTGACTGGGCCCTCAAATCAATAGTCAACCGACTACTTCCCGAGAGCAAACCAAGTATTCCTTTTAAAGTTACACCGTGCATGAAACAACGCACGTTCAATTGTAGACAATCGGATTAGTGATATCTGAAGAATTTGACCGGTACTTGACCTAGGAAATATAATCAACAGAAAGGAGAGGTACATCTTACAATATAGATATCGGCTGACAAGAGAGAACTGAGGGTCTGCTAAATAAAGTCCTGTTTAACAACAGTTGCAGACATTTAAACCTACACTGTAATGTTTGCAATTAATGACAATGACAGAAGACAAAGACAAATTTCCGTCGAGTAAGTAAGTAAGTAAGTAATTTATTTATACACGTAAACACATAATAGTTAACAAAAACTCGTTCGAACGCGCACGTGTGAAAAAAAAATTGCAAAAACTTTAGTGAAAACTTTAACTACTTAAGATGTGATACCTATTACTTTAATTATATAAAGTTAACAATAGCCACTAACCACACTGTTAGAATACTCACCGAGACCATAAGACCTTGAACACGCATGCTCCTGAATCCAGTCCAAGGTGGCTTCAAAGTTGCGTCTGGTTTCCTCCGCGTATCTGAAAAACAAATACAACATTAGCAAAATGTAAGCTTATCACCTGGGACTTTGCAACGCAAGCCTCCAAACAGTCACAACACAAAGCCTCGCCCTTTTCTTCCTCAATAGAGTCCACCAAGTTACTGCAAAACGTCATCACACAGCTCAGAAGGATCCATTGGTTAAACTTCTCATGAGACCACGATGTCCTCAGCAAAACTCTAAGTGTTCATCATCGCTGTGTATGTTTTATCGAGCCGAATCAACCACACATTGTACTCGCGTGCAAGTCAGAGGTGTCGATCAGGCACGTGATTGGCTAAGTAAAAAATCAAATACCATCTCGACATCGTTCTTGATCTCATGACTACAGCTTCGACAAGTGTGGATACAGCAAAATAAAAAGGAAACACCACACGGGAACTTACGTGTTCAAAGTTTCCAGAGATTCCCGCGCAGTATTTTTCCAGGATTCATCGCCATAATCCAGGAACCTACCCAGAAAAAAGAAAAAAGTTACCTTGGCAACATCAATTAAACAACTTTCGCTATATTGACCAATTCTTACCACTGGTCGCAAAGAGCAACAACGCATTCATCCGCTGACCGCGAAATGACCTTCCTCTCTGGCTCCATGTAGATCCGTGCCTCACCCTTAGAAAATCAAAATATTCACTCAGAGCTTCTATCACCAAAGTTTCCTTGGGATTGCGTTGTTGCTAAGAACAGAAATTATGTGAAAACAATTTGTCTTGGACGACAGAAGTTTCTCTCTGTTTCGCTCCTTCATTCATTAATCAGTTAATCGAAAACTCGAAAATTCACCGTAAAAAGTCATAGCCTTGCATCCAACAGGCCCACAAAGGCCACCGTTTTTAAGACAAACCATTCTTGAGTTTTACTCAATAAAAGGAACATCTCTGTAGTAAAGATTGTTGATGCAATATGTCAAAAACTAATCAGAGTTATAGATCGACAAAAAACCAAACAAATTAAACACAGGAGTTAAAATCAACTTACGCTGTCTAACATTTTCTTCTGCACAAGTTTCTTCACGTCTTGAACTTTTTGACCAGCATATTCCCCAACAATGATTGTTCCCTCGTAAAAGGCTTTCTTGTAGGTGAGCTCTTTGGCTTCTGTCAGAAGGTCCTTATCATTCTGGCTCTTTATCTTGAGGTCGTCACAGGCCTTTACCGCACAGAGGTCCCCGTAACCAGGGACCTGGATGATGGGAATAGGTTCATATGGTAGAACCATCTCATCTGTAATACCATATTTCTGTCTGAATGCCTTGAGGTTTAATAAAAGAGTAGAATCTTAGTTCCTGCCACAAAACGTTGTCCTATTAAAACTGATATAATCATCAGAAGCTTACTGACCGCTTTGTTTTTGACATCTCTGAGAGCAGCGTAATCATCCGGGGCATCCGAGGGAACTGACGTCACAATACCGGTACCTAGAAAGAAAAAGTTCACAGAGTAAAGAAACTTGTCCACAACTCAATACAAGAAAACTTGTTGAGGCAGAATTATCCCCTCAAACCTCAGCAAGTAGTTTGCCAGTGTAAATAATGCTTCAAGCTGAGTTGCATGAACAATGATACTATCTTGAAACTGGACACGTGTTTCAGAGGTATGCAGTCTTTGGAAAGGGTCTGAAAACCAGTCTCACCTTTGTCTTCTTTGATGGTCAACATGGGGAGAGTGTAAACAACTTTGTGATGTGTGAGCGGTGCATCCAAAGGAATTCCCATGATGTCCTTCAAATAAAAGTGATAAATAAAGAAATGCAATTGATGATTCCGGAAAAAGACATCCATAA